TGAATTGGGTACCATTTGATAGCATAGATTAGCCAAGTGATAATATTCCTTCAAATGAACTTTTTCATGTTGGTGTATATCTTGAATATGGGACATGGGCTTAGCCTCCGCCCACATGGTAAAATAATTTGTCGCTACTAGCAAAAATCTCTTGTTGGTCGGCACCTTGGATAAGGGTTAGACGATCTCAGGTCCCCACTGAGCAAAGAGTCATGGACTTGTAAGTGGGTTGAAATCGCCTGCCGATTGCTTGATGATGGGAGCACTATTTAGACACTAGATGCATTTTTGAACATACTATTGGACATCCCTCTGCATATAAGACAACCAATACCCTTGTGGGATAGCATGGTGGGCTAGGGATGGACCACCCGTGTAGCTTTTGCATATCCTTTCGTGTATTTCTAAAAGTAAGGGCTAGATATTGCGCTTGGGGACGCAAAGAAAGTAAAGCCCCAAGAAGGATTTGAGGTAGAATTCCCTGGTCTAGCGAAACCTAAAATCTAGGGGCTTTGAGTCACATCTTACGAGCCTCCTTGTTGTAATCCGGAAAGCTCTTTCGTGTTCAGATACTTGATGATGAGGTCCATCCAACCTAACAAGGCATCGTCGGCAGAAACTTCTTGGAAGGTTGAGCTCAGTGTACCCTCACCGATGATGGACTGTGCCAAATACTCCACATTTATCTTCTTGGTGACTTTTGAGATTAAGTAAATAAATTATACTATTAACTAAAAATAATATGTTACCAAAAAATTAATACATATTTAATTTGTAATCATGTATTTCAAAAAGTGAAAAAAATTCACTTAAAATAATATAAAAGGCCTCACTCAGATTTATCTTTTTAGTCCTCTAATTATCTCAAGTCAACATTGACGTTAAACTAGCAAACTCAAAAATAATTAGAGAGATTTAGTAGACAGATACACCAATTTAGAAGATATTAGTATATCGATGTAAAACAATCTCTAGTACAGTGAAATTTTTATGCTACAAATGTGTGGATTTCTGTATCTATGAATTTATCTAAGCAAGCCAAACAAAAACACAAGGTGAGAGAGCGGTACTTTGTTGAATTTCTCTACTGTCTAATTTTTTATTTATTTTTTCCTGGATTTGGATGGTAAAGTTTTGTTCTCTACAGTCACACTGTGGACTGAAATGGATCATTGGATAATGGGTTGTTTGGGAAGAGTAGGGTAGAGTGTGGGGTATGATGTATCAGTTTTGGAGTTAATGCCAGCCCCATGATGTGAAGTGAAATCCATAAACACAAAGGCTTGGGACAGGTATGTGACACAATTGCATTCACGTTTCTACCTTTGTTTGTGTCATTTTCTATCCCTTCAATTTTTACCAGATATTTGTGGCATGATTGCAATTAACTTTAAGAAGCTGTAACTTGGAGTAAGTTTTTCCAACTACTTACAGGTCCATTGAGGCTGTTTCGTAGTAGTGACCAAATATTAGAGCAGCTTCTCTAAAATCAGGGTTATTTGTTTCATTTTTTGTAATAACTTTCTTTTAAAATTTTTATTTTTTTGGGAGGGGGAAGGAAAAGGGAAAAAGAGATTTAAACCCTTGATCTCAAAAAGACAATCTTTTAAAAGTCGCGGTTTGCTACATAAAACTAAGGATACATGTAATACTTACAAACTAGGTATATTAAACAAAGGGGTAAATTACACTCGTGAAGTATTATCCCTTTTTTTCACTTTGTCCCCTCAACTATCTGATTTTTCACATTGCACTCTTTGATTAATTTCACATTGCCTCAATTATTAACATCCGTTTTATATTTAATAAAAATTTATTTTATTTAGCTCCCCATATTATGTAATTTCTATCACTTTACTCTGACATGTCAACGTTTTTCGTCCAAAACGATAACAGACGTTTCTGATTGGAACAATGTCAAATAAAAGTGTTAGAAATTTGGTAGTTGAGGGGGCAAAATAGAAAAAGAGTGATAATTTAGGGGTGTAAATATAATTTACTTTTAAACCAATAAAAATATCTCTCGCAACAATCAAGCTTCAAAATTAGGACATCAAGATATTAATACTGAAGCTTTGGCATCTAAACTACTTTAATGTGTTAGATTTACCTTATTTGATCGATGTATTACTTAAATGAAATAAAAAAAAGCGTGGATGAAATTTGAAACTAAAAAAAAAGCTAGTGTAATAAAAAAATACAAAATGCGATAGAACATGAGGGAAATAAAGAACCATGCACATTGATGATAGAAACGAAAAATATTTTATAAATAGGTACTTGGATTAGATCGGACTAGAGAGAGCAATAAGTGTTGCTTAGGAAAATCGGAATTGGTCAATTTTTATTTTTATTTTTTGATACAAAACGATAATTAGGGTGAATTCAACTTTTCCAATAGAGAAAAAAGTTGGGAGGAGAAATTCTTTCCAATATAGACATTGTAAGAGCCTCAAATGTCTACAACTTTGAGTAACGAAAGACCTTTAATTATAAGATTCTAGTAGTTTTCTATGGTTTTAATGAGGAGGATGTTTTTTTTTTCCTTACAGAAAATAGAGTAGATCTAAGTGGAAAAATTCCTCCCTGGCGTTTTACTTTTTCTTCCAAGGGTGGTTTTTCTTTTCCTAAAGGACGGTCAAATCATATCCATTGGATCAACACAAGTTGGTTGGATCAATAGAAGATGCGTGCAAGCCATGATAGACCGGAAGATGCCACGCAAGTTACGAAAACTAAGATTCTTTCTAGGAGGGATGAGGGAAAGAGGGAATGACGCCTCTAAACCCCTAATTACTTACGTAAGAGTGAGCCTTTATCACTTTACCAGTCTTTCACCTCGCAAAGCGCATGTATACTCACCTTTAATATACTACTAATAATTTCATTTTTTCTACCAAATACCCGTCAATGCCACAATGAACAGAGGATAACATGATGACTCAATACGTCTATTAATGAATTGAATTTCTAGTCAAAATTTTGTGTTGTATTAACATGTATAACTTTCAAATTAGAGGACTTGGAAATTGTTTATTGCCATTTATATAGACTTAGTCGATTTTTAGTTTATAAAAAAAGTTATGATTCATAAGTTTGGTTGAGAAAATTAGATCATAATCATAGATTATAATTTACAGATTATACAATACGACGCTAGTACTTTACAAGAATTCAAAATATACAATTCAAGTACGACTCAAAACCGCTTGGATACCCCATTCTTTAAACCATGCCCTGCCGTAGCAGTACATCTCACATGATAAGCTGTTTCTTATTACCAACCATTGCCATCTTTTTGTCTTGCTTAGTCAGAATCCTTCAAACAATTGAAAGATTCACAGACATTCTACGTGCTCTTTATATATTTATATATTCAGATCTTAGTCTTACATTCACGCGGTTCACTAAAGCCAAGATTTCCTTTTCTTTATTCTGGAATGATGAGCTTTGATCTCGTATTTAGTTACCTATTAAGATCCATTCTAGTATTAGATTCTTAGGAGAAGACTATGGTACCAAAAAAAAAAAAATGTACCTTCAAATTTTATAATTTTAATGAGTGTTTTTATAATTTTTGTTGGTAATTTATAACTTTTGTGTGCGTTTTTCGATTGCCCTTTGATTGCTTTCGTTAGAGTGTGCCACTCACGTGATCGTATAACACAAAAATAACTCAATTGACACAATTAAAGAGTTCAGGAGTTCAACTGACACACAAAAAGAGTTCGAGGACGGCATTGACATAAAAGTCTTAGTTTGAGACCATATGTGTAATTTACTCCAACGCATTTGTGTCTATGACACACTTTGCCACTTTCCGTTAGAAAATTTAATGGAGGTAGACAGAAGGGTTCAATTGATATAATTGGAGAGTTTAAGTGTTTAATTAACACAATTAGAGAGTTTAGAGGCTTAATTGATATAATTAGAGTATTCAATAGCTCAATTGACATCAAAAAAAATAGAGATTTAATTACACGAGGGTCATAATTCGAGTAAAGGTTTAAATTTTCGTTGATTTGAATAAAAATTTGAATTTTTGTTGATTTCATATGACTTTAAGTATGTGATTGAAGAAGATTTTCGGGCTATTTTTTACCCAAATTTAAATATGAGCCTAAAAAAGAGTAAGGATGAAAATACCCGTAAAAGACTCATTTTGAATATTATGATCCCGTAGAATTCTGAAAAAAAAAAAATTTGAAACAAAGGTGTGTCTAAGACGCTAAAGCCTTGTCTTTAATTATGTACAATAATAAGCAACTTTAATTGATTTTTAATTGATTGGATTTGTTTCCTAGCAAAATTCATTCATTGGCAGATTACTAAATTTGTTAGTATGGTAAGTAATAAATAATAATTGCAATAATAAATAAAACTGCATATGTGACATTTTTAGTGGTCCATAAGCTCCTTTGCCCTCTATATTTTTTTTTTTTTAACTTGTTTTAAATAATCCATTTGCTTCTACAGGACATCAAATCTACTTGTTGAAGCAGGCAATACATGTGGACCAGGACCACATAGAATTCAAAACAATTGTAGAAATGGATTTGAATCCTTTCAATAAAAATTTAGCCATTTTTTTTATAGCTGATTATTAAAATGAATTTAGATAGAATTTTAGTATATAAGCAAGTTTTTGTTTTTGATTCGACGGTCAAAGATGTCTAGGTCAGATTACGCGTATTTCGACTAATTTCCTTTCCTATACGGTCAAAGACAGTTCATCCACGCTGAAACTGAGATATTCATGAAACTCGTTTCTATTATCACTTCAGCTATTCTTTTAAAGTTTTAAGTAGGTTTTCTATTAATATACGATTACTGATTAATAGTTGATTTGTGCAATGGTGGTTACCTGTTCGAATCGTGAAAATAATTTTTTTGTTTGCAGAGATAAGATTAAATACATCTAACATTCTCTAGACGCACAATAACAGAAGACTCGTGCATTAGATATNTCTGCCTCTCCCTATTGTTCTCTCTCTGGAGCAATGATTTTTGACAAAGGATCAATGCAATCAAACCTGGAGTGCTTTCTCGATTGCATAACACCTGTGGTCCCATCCCAATTTATTCCCAAGGTTGGTTTCATTTTTCATATATTTTTTTTTGTCAGAAAAGTTGGTATTGATTGAACTATGTCTCTATGATTGCGATGATTGTTCATATAGTTTGATGATTCTTGATTTTCTTGCAGAGCGAGACTAGAAACCTTAATAGGCTATGGCATCCTTGGGAGAGAGAAAAAGTTGAATACTTTAGATTGGGTGATCTTTGGAATTGTTTTGATGAATGGAGTGCTTATGGGACGGGAGTTCCGATCAATTTGGACGGCGGTGAAACCCTGGTTCAGTACTATGTGCCTTATCTCTCTGCAATTCAAATCTTTACTAGCAATTCCTCATTGAATTGCTTGAGGTACCAATATCAATCCTTACACTTGCAATTTGATACAGTTCATAGTTATAAACTGAATTGCTACTTATGCAGAAGTCTTCAATTGATTGATTTCGAGTTTTATATTACGTTTCGTTTATAGTGCTCAAATTCAAGTATTTGTTACCCAAAGTTTGATGATTGTGGTGATTAGCTGCTTCTGATTGGTACTAATGTTAAGATATATTTACCTTTGGGATTTTTTTTTCTTGAGATATCAAATACCAATCTATTAGTCTGGCTGCTAAATGCCCTTTTTTTTTTGGGGCCTAATTTGAGGCTTTGAAAGAATTTCTAATTGCTGGTTGTTATTATGGTTGTCTATGATTTAATCATGGTATTGTTCTAAAGTCTTCGAATTAAGGTTCTTGTATCAGAGGGAAGTGCTGATGAAGTTTGATGAATGCAATATGTTATAGGGAAGAGACTGAGTCGGTGTATGAGACGAGGGACTCTTTTAGTGATTGGTACAGCGATGAGAGCGAGAGCGAAAAGCTATCGGGATGGGATGGGTGTTCATCTGAGGAAGGAGTGTTTGAGCAAGAAAGCCTCAGGCATCTGAATGATAGATTGGGCTACCTATACTTTCAGTACTTTGAGAGAACAACTCCTTACGGAAGAGTTCCTCTCATGGATAAGGTAACACGTACCAGTCAATGTTGCTTTGTGCCCTGTTCTAAATTTTGAGCTTTCTTATTTTCATAGCCTTTTCTCTGTCTTAGCCTTCTCTTTTGGTTGGGATTTCTTACAGCGAATACTAATTACTAAACATCGAAGTGATAAATTTGTTGTGGATATTTTAGATTGATTTGAATTCTTTTTCGTGATAGGCATCTTAAAAAGATCTTGAAACTTTTGACTGCAATGCTTCTTTTTCTCTATTGCTTTTATAGAATTGTTGTTGTCAGCTATTTATCATCTTTATTCTATGCTCTTTCTCTCCCCAATGGATTAATGAAAAAGCATATGTTCTTCCCTTTGATGTATTGTCCTTCCCTAAATGTCATTGCTTGTGAAAAGAAATTCTTGATTCTTCATGAAACACAACAATGCAATTTTTGGATGATGGTGACCGTCTAAATTATAACCCTTCTTTTCCTTTGCTTTCAGATCAGTGGATTATCTAGAAGATACCCTGGATTAATGTCATTAAGAAGTGTGGATCTTTCACCCGCTAGTTGGATGGCAGTTGCTTGGTCTCTCTCTCTCTCTCTCTCTCTCTCTCTCTCTCTCTTTCCATTTATTTGATGATTTACAATTTGAAGATGCTAATTCAAATTTTTTTTATCATAGATTCTATAAATAGATAGACTTATTCAATGCCACTTCTCTAATTCTAGTTCCATTATTGTAATTCTTTAAACAAAAGTAATTCAATGTTTGCTGATTTAAGCNTTTAAAGTTTTAAGTAGGTTTTCTATTAATATACGATTACTGATTAATAGTTGATTAATGCAATGGTGGTCACCTGTTCGAATCGTGGAAATAATTTTTTTGTTTGCAGAGATAAGATTAAATATATCTAACATTCTCTAGACGCACAATAACAGAAGACTCGTGCATTAGATACGCTATTTAATTAAATAAATTACACGTGAAAGTATACTGATAAAAAAATTAACGTGATCACCTCTAGTGCTTGAATTTCAAGTTAGGACTTTTCTTTTCTTTTCTATTTTTGTTAAATAATTAAGAATATCCGAGACAATTTAAGTACGTTTTAACAAATTTTCTCTCAATCTGATCCACGACAGACAGAGACGCTTCGCGTAAAAAGAAATTCGAACCACTAAAACATAACTTTTTAGTGTTCATCCAAAAACTTTTATTAACACGTGTAGCTACATTATTGGTTCCCACTAAACGCGGAAATTTGGTATTTATCAAACCTCCTTTTGGCATTTTCCTAACTATCCTTCAAATTTGATGATACAAATATTAATATTTATAGTAACGTTATTCTGATAAAAAAAAATAGATTTAAAATAGGGATCAAAATGACCCGACTGATCTGCTTTTGATCAAATTAGAGAAGAGATTAATTGAAAAATGCATATNTAGGTACAAAGTATCCTACTACCAATGTATATTTTTCAACTATTTGTGAGATAAGAGTAGAAATATCTAAGTGGCTTCAATGTCCCAAAGACGTTATAAAAGATATGGCCTTGAATATGTTGAAAAAATTTAACAAATATTGGAGTGTGATTCTTGGTGTTATGGGAGTAGCCACTGTTTTAGATCCATGGTATAAGTTGGGAATTTTGGAGTATTATTATGAGAAAATGTATGGAGGTGTGGAAGCTTTAAATGATGTGAAAAGAATTAAGGAGCTTTGCTTGGAATTGGTAGGCGAATATGAAACGATACAAGAAAGTGATTATGAACCACATCCTTCTCCTCCCCCTTTTCAATCAGATATTGATTCCAAATGCCCATTAATTGATGATCTCTCTGATTTTGATAAATTTATACAAACAAGAGACATGACAAAAGTACATGAGATATCTGAGTTGGATCGTTACTTAGAAGATGGTATGATGCCAAGAAGTTTAGATTTTGATATACTATCTTTTTGGAAGACAAGTGGTCCCAAGTATCATTTGCTTCAAATGATTGCTAAAGATCTTTTTGCTATTCCTGTTTCTACAGTTGCCTTAGAATCTGCTTTTAGCACAAGGGGAGGGTGATCAGTCCACATCACAATAGACTTCTTCCAACTACAGTAAAGGCTTTAATGTGCTCTCAAAATTGGTTGTATGCTGAAGAACGAGGTAATGACATATTATTTGTATGTGCATCATAATTTTTTTTTGTGGTGGGTAAAATACGACTTATGCATTATTTTATTTTTTTAGGTTCATCTACTTCGACAGGCATGAAGAGCTATACATTATTGGAGGATCTTGATATTGATGTAGAGGCATATTGTTTTAGTTGAAAATTTCTTTTTGGAAGAATCTAATTATTTTTTTCTTTTAATGATATAGGAAAATGATGTTTGAAGAAGTAGATTCTACCACTACCAATGGTGTTAAGTGATGATTGAGTTGGTGTGAAGCTGGTGTTAATAGATGATTGAGTTGATTGAGATGATTCTACCACCCGTTATATTATTTGTGTTATGTTGTGTAATATTGAATTATATCAAATTTAAATAGTATTTTGGACATTTGTTGTTTGTGTTATGTTTGAATATGTTATGCTACATTATGTTGTGTTAGATTATGTTACATTATTTAAAATGTTGTTGGATTATTTAAATGTTGAATTTATTTAGAATTTTAGATTATATTGGCTTGAACTTAGACTTAGGCTTAGGCTTGGGCTTAGGCTTGTACGGGGGAAGCGGGGACGGGGACGGGGATTATAAATATACCCGCGAGCAGGGATAGGGATGAAAATTATTCCCATTAGCGGGGGTGAACCGGGGATGGATGAATTTTTTTAAGTGGGCACGGGGATGAAGACTATACCCCCGCCCCCGTTTCGGTCCATTGACATCCCTACTGGTCAAGCGCCTTAGGCGACGCTAGGAGGTCTTGAGCACTGCTGTGCCTGGGGGATGCCTTGGGTCATTCTATGAGCGACGCCTCTCTGGTGTTTGGTCACTAACTGACCTTGTCTATAATTATAGGTGTCCTATTGGCAGAGCGATGATGGAGACTCTCTCATGTTTTTAGGGTGGTGACTTCTCTTTCTCCCAAGAGGGCGAGGTTTAATGCCCCCGGTGCTTCTCGGTCAAGGTCTGATGGCCAGGTTGCTTCCCGAGACCAAGATCCAGTGGTGCCCCCGCTCCTTCCAAGGATGGAACTCATGTATGTACCTGAGCTAGTTGTTATACTGTTGTAGTAGTTGAGACTTTTGTGCGGTCTCCCACTGGGACTGTAACTCCATATGGCTCGATGTGCATGCTTTGACTTGACTTCAGTTAAGGAGTGACTTTGAAGGTATGTGGCCCCGAGGGATATCATAGAGGTAGACACAGGGGCTGCTGAAGAGTAGTTGGAGCTCGAGCGGCAAGCACGAAGGGATGCCACAGAGCAAGTAAGGCTCGAGCGACAGGCACAAAGAGATGTCGCGGAGCAAGTAGGGCTCGAGCGGCAGGCACGAGAGGATGCCGCGGAGCAAGTTAGGCTCGAGTGGCAGGCACGAAAGAATGCCACGGAGAAGTAGGGCTCGGGTGGTAGGTACGAGAGGATGTCGTCGAGTAAATAGAGCTCGGGTGGCAGGCATGAGAGGATGCTATGGAGCAGTAGGACTCGAGCAGCAGGTGTGAGAGGATGCCACTAAGCAGTTAAGGCTAGCGCACGAGAGGGCTGTCCATCTAGACTCTGACCTTCAAGTAGCACTTGAGATAGCTACTAGGATAGATGTTCATTCTATGGAGATGAGGAGGGTGCTGACGAGCTGAGGCTTATTCCATTGAGATGAAGATGAGGAGAATGTTGAGGAGCTGGGTGCCTGAGGTATTGGACGCCTGATGAGAGGGGCGAGACCCATCGTCTAGGTATCATAGGAGGCTCCCAAGGTGGAGAGCTCATCTAATGGCATCATAAGGGTGCCCAAGGGGGAGGGGACGAGACCCCCTGTCTAAGCGACATCATGGGGGCACCCAAGATGGAGAGGGCGAGACCCCTAGTCTAAGCGCCTGGTGATGGGCGTCTGATGCTAGGTGCTTGGCACTAGGCGCCTAGTGTTGGGCGCCTTTTGTCTTTTTTGTCTATCTTTTTATTAGGTCATAAGTTGTTTGAAATGAAAGCAAGATAGTTATAGTTATGAACACATTAATCTTCGAAAAGTTCTATTTCATAAAATAATGAATAACAAAATAAATCAACTGAAAAGATAAAAGATAGATAAAATCTTTAGGTGTTCGATGTCTCATAGGTGGGCCAATGTTTCCTTGGCAGAGTTGGAGTCGTATCCTCTTCCTGGCCCTTAGAAGATCGTTTGGATTTCTCTGAGGGGTTACTGGCGTTCTCTATCATCCTGGACCCGGCCAGGTGGCGGGGCTTGTCCTCTATCAGCAACGTATTGCCTCAATTGGCCACGCTGTATGAGCTCCTCGATCTGCCTCTTGAGCTCATAGCAGTCATCAGTGTCGTGGCCATGGTCGTGCTAGAAGCAATAGTATCTGCTGTGATTTCTGCAGTTTGGGGCAAACTTCATTTTTTCAGGCCAGCGGAGCATGGGGTCATCTTGTATCTGGAATAGAATATGCTCCACCGAGGTGTGGAGTGGCGTGAAAGGCTGTCGTTCTCTCAGGGGGTACGGACCGAGACGGTTCTTGACAGAAACTCTTTCGATTCTCTTTCTCTTGTTCTCCGCCTCCCACCTGTCTTCGCGGGCGTCCTTCTTTTTCTCGCCCCCATGGGAGGACTCACCTTGTCTGGCCTTGGTGACATCCTCAGTGTTCATGTATTTTTGTACCCTAGACAGCAGCTCGGGCATGCTGGAGGGTGGCTTCTTAAGTACGAAGAACATGAAACTAGAGGTGTGAAGACCAAAGATAAAGGCAACCAAGACTACCTTATCATCTAGCTCCTCGATCTGGAGCACCTTCTCATTGAAACGGGCAAGGTAGTCTGTGAGGCTTTCATCCCTGTCCTGTTTGATTGTGAGCAGGTAAGTCACTGGTTTTTAATGTCGGTGTCCCCCAATGAAGTGGGAGACGAAGGACCTAC